AAAAATCATTAGGATATTAAGTAAAGATCATGTTCCATGAAACTATTTTGTCAATTTCCTACCGTAAATATATCAAAACGTACGTTTTGATTAGTAATATGCATTGCTAAGTACTTCATTTGGACAACTTTATAGGAGATTTTCTCAGTATTTAGATTTTTTTTGCACCCTCAGATTCCAGATTTTCAAATAGTTGTTTCTCGGCCAAATATTACCCTATCCTAACAAGCCATACATCAATGGAAAGCGTATTTAACCAACTGTCAGATGATGTATAAATCTCAATAAATAAAAAAAAAAGACCCTTATGACTGGTTTTGTGGTCCAGTGTCACATATGCTAGTATACAAGTGTTTTAATGTCAGTGAAAGTAATGGATCAATATTACATAACATTGTCGTATTACAAAGCAGAAATGTGTTGGGGATAAGTCAAGGACATTTCCTCAAGGTCAAAACTGGCTGTTTTATTTGACGTTTAGAACAATCTGCTGTTCGTATGCCATCAGTGTTGAATGCGTTTTAGTGGCTCTCATGGTCGGCAATGGATGGTTGAATCTCGGAAGTGTTGTTAAAGCTGCATAGACTGTTGAGTGCACAATGTGCTTGGTGAAATTACTGATCCCTTCATATGAGGCAAACAATCCTCTGCAACGTAAGCAACCCCCTCTGCTGGCTGAAGCGCAGAAGTGCAACTCTCACCTCATTTGCTAAGCAGTTCATGTTCATATCCCAGCAGCCAATAATTCCTGTTTTTGAAGATAGGATGACAATCCTGTTTGTTACTAGGAATACTCCAGTGTTTAAAGGAAAAGCTGCCTATTTATTTTGTTAAGTCAGGCATCTTGTTCCTTATAAGACCATTCAGTTTGATAAGATTATATATTTGATTTTATTTTGGGTCCATTGCGCATTAAATCGTACATTTTCAGCTGATTTTTGAATTTGGTTTTGTTCAGGTTTGCTGTGGTGGTTTGGCTTTTCTGAAACAATTTGGCCATGAAATGAGCTGAATTGCTTTCTAATACTAACCCTAACACAGTGCTCTCCCTCCTCTGTTTCTCTGTATCTCTCTATTCTTTACTCTCTCTTGGATTCCCCCCACATTGTGTTCTCTCTCTTTTTTATCTACTCTCATAGAGCTACAGGGTAAGTATGTTTTTTTTTTCACGCCAATCTGTGGCTCACTTTGATTCTTCTCACTCGTCACTCTGCATGGCCCTTTAACCCGGCCTCAACCTGAAAAAGACCCAAACACGTCTGCAGACAGTTCTGTGGTCATCGGATTTAACCCCCACATGACATTTTGGCTTGACAGCTTACAACGAGTGATTTAAGATCACAGCCTTTCTCTTTTCTCACATTATAACACCTGAGGGTTTGCTTTGTGCATGATTTTGCTGATGCCGTCCCAGCATGCATGCTGCTTGTATTCCTGGAAGCAGTTCTACTGCGGATAGCTGACTTTGCTTCAATCCTCAGCAAAGGTCACGACCATTTCTAACAATCTAGTCTGCATGAGTTAACCTTTAAACTTCCTCTGGGAGGTTCCATGTGTTTCATTAAGAGTAGAAGATGTTCGACCGCAGAGTTCAGAGTCGTCTGTCTACGTTTGTTGTGTAGGTGCTAGTCGGAATAGTTTGTTTTGTCCTGTGTTCACATTATGTCCATATTGTTGGAGGCTGGAAGAGAGAATGATTCTCATCTAATGCAGTATCTTCTCTTGTGTTCTGCCTCCTTTCATTATTTTCACTTTTTTTTCTTCTGATTGTCCTTTGTAATCTTCTAATTCTTCCATTTGACCTTCTGTTTTGTCTCATTCTTTGGGCATTTTTTTCCATTCTGTCCATTCTCCACCTTATTTCATCCCTCTGCCTTTTCCCCCTTCTTTTCTGTTATGCTCTCTGTCGCCCCCTTTAGGCCGGGGGGACCTTCAGCCACAGCTGGACAGCGCAATGCAGGATGTGAATGACATGTACCTGCTGATGGAGGAGACAGAGAAGCAGGCGGTGCGGCGTGCTCTAGTGGAGGAGAGAGGACGCTTTTGTACCTTCATCAGCTTCCTGCAGCCTGTAGTGGTACAGCCCACCTCATTCAACATCACTTATGTGAACTGTACAGCTGCTCAGCCCTTACACATTACTCTGTAACAAGGACACCAGTTAAAGTGTAGATTAAGTCTCTTATTTTAGATTAGATTAGATTCAACTTTATTGTCACTGTGCAGAGTACAAGTACAGAGCCAATGAAATGCAGTTATGCCCAGCAAGGCTGCATTTATTTGATCAAAAACACAGCAAAAACAGCAACATTGTGAAATATCATTCAAATTTAAAATAACTGTTTGTATTTCTATTAATATATTTTATTTGTGACCCTGGACCACAAAACCAGTGAGATATATGATATACATATAAATAAGCTTTCCATTGATGTGTGGTTTGTTAGGATAGGACAATATTTGGCCAAGATACAACTATCATGTTCTTCATGGATTTGACCCATACAATGTATTGTTGGCTATTGTTACAAATATACCCCTTCTACTTATGACTGGTTTTGTGGTCCAGGGTCACATTTAATAATAACAATTTATTCAAACATTTGTTCAACAATTTGATGCTCAAGAAACATTTCTTATTATCATGTATGTATATATATTCTCTGATGAATAGAAAGTTCCATTTTTTTATTTTAATTTTTTTGAACGGTAGTGTATGCTGGACACTTTATGCAGTTCATTCACTCTCCAATCCAGATTTATGTTTTTAAAAGTAAAGAGGAAATGTTTCATCAAAATTTTGTTCGTCATACTGTATATGGTAGTGGCAATGAGGAACCTGTCTTAAGATTTAAAGCAAAAAGTATGCTCTTAGAATATGTTACTGTCTGACATTTAAATGGCATTATGTGATGTTAAAATCTGATCTATGAACTTGTGGTTTTGTCCTCGTGTGTTGTTAGAATGGAGAGATTGCCATGTTGGGAGAGATCACTCATCTCCAGGCCATTATTGATGACCTCACCGTGTTAACCTCAGAGCCCCACAAACTGCCCCCAGCCAGTGAGCAGGTGCACATCCTTTTATGTACTCCAGTCACCATGTATGTACAGTGCTTTGCAGAAAAAAGGCCATTAACACTAAGACTGCCTCTCTCTGTCTCTTTCTTTCAGGTAATAAAAGACCTTAAGGGTTCAGATTACTCTTGGTCCTACCAGACTCCCCCCTCTTCTCCCAGCAGCTCCGGCTCCAGGAAAAGCAGCATGTGCAGGTGAGAGTGAGAGTGATAAAGAAATAGAGACATTATGCTGCCAGTAATGTTAGCACACTTATCAAATCTTTATTTCTGGTTATTAGCCTTTTTTCTGCTGGATAGATTTGTTGCTTGTGCTGTGTACTATGTTGCTTGACTTTTCTTTGTTGTAATTGCTTTGAACATTGCTGTTTGTTGCAAAATGACAATACAATTTAGTACAAAATATAATTTGCCAAATGGCAGCTCGTACTTGTAACTAACTGCCCTGTTGGAAAATAAAGCTTATGCTGTGTCTTAGGACATGGTAGCTGGTATTTTATTGGTTTAAGCTGGTCTGAGTTAGTCATAAGCTGGTCTAAACTTGTAGACCATTTTGGATCGGAAAACAAACCATATACCAGTTGGTCATACCATGATAAATGGATAGTTTGCCGAAAGATGAACAATTCTGTCATCCATTACTCACCCTCATGTCATTTTAAACCTATTAGTCTTTAAGCCTATTTCCACCGCAGGAACTTTCCCCAGGAACTGGGGACTTTGGGGCGGTAATCGGTGTGTTTCCACCGCAGGAACCAGGATCTAAATGAAGTTCCGGGTAAAAATTTGCCCCTCAGAAAGTCCCTGCTCACGAGGTAGTACTTTATCAAAGGTCCGGAACTTTTGGGGGTGGGACTTGGGCACTGAACATGCTGATTGGTTGAGTTCACGCAGCATTTGGATTGGTTGACTCTACGCCGCATTGTATTTCAACCACCATTTTTAAAAGTCTGTTGCGGTGTGGCGTTGGTGCAGTGCCGAGGATGAAATCCAGCGGGAACTGGAAACGGTGACAAAACAATTATGATTGTCCGTCGCTATGTATGACGCAATCGTTGTTCGACATTAGCGCCCCCTTCTGGACTGGGAGGAGCAGTCACGTACAGTCCTACTACATCACCAGACTATTTGCCTAATCTTCACGGTACTTTAGGCTGCGATGGAAACACAGACAGCAACAGGTCTGGGGGAAAAAAAGTTCCTGGGACAAATTGTTCCAGAGCTTTTCATTCATCTTCGAACCACAATGAAATCTGAGTGATTTTTGTTCCTCCATTGAAAGTCCATTCCACCAAAACTATAATGCTTCAAAAAGTTTATAAAAAACATCATAAAAGTAATCCATATGAATCAAGCACTTAAATCCAAGTCTTCCGAATGATCGCTTTTTGATGAACAGATTTAATATAGCCTTTTATTCACATATAAACATTGATCAGCACACATGCATAGAGAACATCAAATGTGCTTGCGTGACGATCGCTTTATGAACTTTTTGAAGTGTCAAAGTTTTTGTGGAATGGACTTCAAAAGAGACAGAAATCTTATGGGTTTAGAAGGACATGAGAGTGAGTAAATGATAACAGATTTGTAATTTTTGAGAGCAACTAAGCCTTTAAGGGGATGCCAGTGCCAATGGCCATCTTGCATAAACCAAATAACTACTTAGAAACTAGCTACTAGCTGTTGTTTTTCCAGCCAGGTTATATTTTGTGAGTGTGTGTATATTTTGAATGCAAGTGTGTGTGTGTGTACAGGGAAAGAGGGGGCTGCTAATGCTACTGCTGCGCTACACAATCTCACTGTATGTTGACATCAACCCCGACAACATATTAGAGACAGAGCACTGCGGTCATGAAAATGTTGTTTTGTATTCTGTAAGAGCCTTGCTTTCAACAGGCACAGTTTAATGCTTATTGATTCATGTTATTCATCCATTGATTCCTTTTGATGAAGTCAAGGATGAAACATAGCAATTACCTACAATTATAATTAACACAAGTAGACTAAAGTAGCTTGTTTAATATGATGTTATTACTTTTATAATTGACTAGCAGTTAGTTGTGTCTGATTAATGTAACTTCAGTGCTTTGCTCTCTTAAATTAATATTCCAGGTTAAAAACCATTTAAGAACCTCAACAACAGAATCTGTCTAATATTCCTGTGCTGTTTTTAACCCGGAATATGAAGTAATTGCTTCAAAACAAATTGAAAGCATTTTAAGATCACTTTTACATAGCCAGTCCCTCTAGAGTTTTTGATTAGACCATTAGTATTTTGCTTTGGCTCCAGGGCCAATTAAAGCTTCCTTTTTTAATAGTGTCATTTAGTACCTGTTTGTCCGCCTCGCATGGAGTCATGGGGGTTGCTTCAAGTGCGTTGGCTGCGCAAGGCCGACACATCTGAACACAACCTTCAATCTCCATACTAGGCCCCCTGTGTCACACCTGTCAAACTTTGTCTTACATATGTTCTCCCTCTGCCCCCCACTCTGCCCTCCATCCTTACCCATCAACCTCATAACTGCTTGAGACCTTTGTTTGTCCATCTCTTTTTTACTGACAAATTTAAGGGGGTCTGAATACTTTCCGTACCCACTGTATATATATATAGAATGTTTAAAGCGTAAAAAACACACCACAAAATAATGCAGTAGATATGAAAACAACCAGCAGATGACAAAAAAAAAACTATGGAAAAAAAGTGCTAAACTATACTGAGAAAAAAATGGCACATAACTTTTAGGAATACTACAAATCTTTACTTGTTTTTTGATTATGTGTTTCATTGCGTTTCACAACATTAAAAATCTATTTGTACATGTAATAATTAAAATACACTATCCTTCAAAATTTTAAGGTCAGTAAGATTTTTTAATGTCTTTGAAAGTTAAAGTTTTGTATGCTCTCAAACTATGCATTTGATCAAAAATACAGTAAAACAGTAATATTATGAAATGTTAATAAAATTTAAAATAAGTTTTCAATTTTAATATATTTTAAACTGTTATTTATTCCAGCCATTACTCCAGTCTTAAATGTCACATGATCCTTCGGAAATAATTCTAATATGCATATTTGGTGTTAAAGATATTTTTTTCAATGCTGAATATAGCTTTTTTGTGTAAAATGTGACTTTTTTTCATTTTTATTTTTGTAAAGAACAGCATTTATTTGAAACTTTTTTGTAACAATTTAATCAATTGAATGCATCCATGCTGAGCATTCACTTATTATAACAAACTAACAAAAAAGAAAATAAATAAATGAATACATTTTACTGACTCCAAACTCTTCTCTCACTCTTGTCCTCTCCAACGGACATTCACTTGGCAACACTACATTTTCCAAGCTGAAGGTGTTGAAGTCATTTGGTTAAAACTGTTATTAATTTAAAATGTGATTTTTCTATTTATGATGTGTCCATTTATTGCAAGCAGTACCAAAAAAAAAAACCTTTACGAAGACCCTCTAAATGTTTCCCTGCTGATACCCCATCTTTTATGGTCTTTCTTACAGAAGTCATCAAGTTCAGCGTCCTCGGATGCATCTGAGACCTGCCAGTCAGTTAGTGAGTGTAGCTCTCCAACCACAGTAAGTATCAAGTACTCTGTCCATAAGACATACATGTGCTGAAACTGTCAGTGATGGATTGTTTTGGCTTGTCAGTGTTTTGGATTGTCTGTGGGACCCGTGAGGGTTGTGCTGCTGATTGGCAGGTTGGGGTCTTCTCTGTCTCTCTTGCCGGTTTCGTCTTTGTGCTGTCATCAGATCTGATCTTTCCTGCCACTCTCAGCATGTATCTGCAAGGCCACACACACAAAGGCTCCCATGCCCATGAGTAAAGGGAAGGGGGTCTCTTGCTACTCTGACGGTCTCGGTCTTATCTCTCCATTCCGCAGTTTGGCTCGTCCTTCACTACCTTCCGCCCTGCTCTCTATCACACTCCTGGCTCCATCAGGCCTTTCTCTGTCATACTTCCTGCGTCCCCACCCTATAACCGCTCCCCTGGATCCAACACACCCTCTCCCACATCCAAGGTTCCTTGCTGGAAGGTTTGTCTCCATTGGCAATTCTCATTGCAGTTTTGTTTATTTCCTCTTCTTTTTGCGTGTGTTGAATATGTGCCTCCTGAATAACACTTACTGACAGTGATTTTGATTTGATTTCATTCTGCTTAACCTCATTCATTACCTCATTTTGCTTTTTAACACACACCTTTTCTGTTGGCTGCATGATGCTGGTTTCAAATCTCTGGCTGTGAGATCTGCTAAACCGAGCAGACCACGGAAGGTACCTATCAGTTTATTCAAACACTGAGATTGGGTTTTCTCTAAAACACATAAGAAAGTATCTGTTGAAAGGACACTCAAACTGCTGGATCGTGGGCCAGTCTTCTCTCTCGCCCCTGAGACCGTTGCATCTATTGCTGTAGACTGAACTGAATTAACAGAGTCTACTTCCTCAGGACTGGTCCAAGGTAGGTTCCGGTGAGCAGCCGCTAGCCAGCACACTTCAGAGGAGGAAGGAGCCTCTGGATAGGCTGCGGGAGGCAGAAACCTCTCCTCAGTCACAGGGGTATTCTGGAATGCATTCGGAAGACCCCCAGAGGCCAAGGATGACCCCGGCCACTATCGCTGCCAAGGTAACTTTCACCGTATATTAAACATTCATCATTTGGTGTGGCTAAGACAAAATGTACCCGTTTGCTTAAGGCTGTTTCTGCAAATATGGGCTGCTCTGGCCTTGAGTACTTAATAATGCAGTGTTTTGTTTTGTTTTTTTGTTTTAAGTGTGATTTCTATACTTGGATAAGCCTTGAAAACTAATAAATTCTTAGATATTTCCAAAGGATTTATATATATATATATATATATATATCTAAAATATTTTATCAGGTAGAAATTTCTATTTTCTATTTCTAACTCTGCAATCACAAACAACTAAAAAAGTCATGCAGATCTAATAGAAATAGAAATTCTAAGTGCTGAATAACACTTCTGGAATTATAATATTTAATTTAAATTATTTAGTTTAATTGTTTTAATACATTTCCACTACTATTTTCTTTAAATTAAGAAGTTTGAAAATGAGCAGCTTTGTTAATACAGCTAAAGTCTCTTAAAATGCACTTCACACTCTCACTAGCTTATACAGTATGTGACCCTGGACCACAAAACCAGTCTTAAGTCGCTAGGGTATATTTGTAGCAATAGTCAAAAATACATTGTATGGGTCAAAATTATTGACTAAGAACTTAATTTGGACAACTTTAAAGGCGATTTTCTCAAATTCCAGATTTTAAAATAGTTGTATCTCAGCCAAATGTTGTCATATCCTAACAAACCATACATTCAGCTTTCAGATGATGTATAAATCTCAATTTCGAAAAATTGACCCTTATGACTGG